CTTAGGCCTTCACGGTTTCAAGAAGGAGATCTCATATGGTTAAGTGTAAAAAGTTTTCCCTGGAAGAAAATGTGTCTAAAAAATTGTTCTCTGTCTATTACGGACCTTGGGAAGTTTTCAAGGTAATTGGGGATGCAGATGGACCTTCCTACCGATTAGATGTAGCCCCACACCTGAGGATGAATCCTGTCTTTCATGCCTCTAAAACTCCTGCTATATGTAGAGGGAACTGAGTTTTCCTAATAGACCATCTATGTTCCCCCCTTCCTTGAATGGAGGTTACGAAGTTGAGAAGATTTTGAAACATGGCTATTTCTCTACAGGCGGCAAAGGACGACCGCAAAAGCAATATAAGCCTATAAGGTGAAGTTCAAGTCTCAACCCCCTATTGAAGCTAGATGGTTTAGTAAAAAGGAACTCTTACCTATAGCTCCTGATATTATTTGTTGCATATAAACGTGGGTTGAAAGAAAATCGATGTGTTTCTGTGATGAAACTGGAAAATTGGGCCGGCAGGAATGCAATAGCCCATGCACTATGCCTCGTGGAATGTCTAAGGGCCTCGCCAGGCCACCACTTAGACCCAGGCCGGAGGAAAGAAAAGACCCCTACGTGGATTTAGAGCCTGAGCGGGCGACAATTGACCAAAGTCAACTGTCCGACGTCCAACAGTCAAAGTCAAAATGGACCCAACCCAGACCATTGGTCAGACGCACACACTTGTTTGTATGCAGGTACCCAGACAACATCAAAACCAAGTGGAAGTCATCATTGCTCTGCAACTGTACACAATCCAGACCCTCTACTGTGAGTCAATCTGTAAGACTGTGGGAGGGAGACCTGAGGCCAGACTGCCTCGTCAAACACTACATAAGGCTTGGTCTCCAGGAGGTCAACATTCAGTCTTGCTATGCGGCCTCGACGCTGGCTTGACTCTAGCTGGTCGCTGGCTTGAGGCTGGCTCGACGTTGGCTCGACTCGGGCTGGATGCTGGCTTGATGCTGGCTGTGCGCTGGTAATGTGGACGATGACGCGGGACTGTGGCAGCATGCTGGCGCCTTCTCTGCTGAGCGCCAGCCTCTGCTGATGTGGTGCATGCCACCTGTCTGCATTGCTGATGTGGCGCAGGCCATCTATCTTCATTGCTGATGTGGCACATGCCACCTGTCTACATTGCTGATGTGGCACATGCCACCTGTCTCTATTGCTGACGTGGCACTGGCCACGTTGTCTACATGAGGTGATTGGTCGTGACAAGGAGGGAGATCGGGATCTGTGAATGATTGGGGAACTGGTACTCGCCTGAGGTTGACATCGATACCATGTACTGCTGTTTGTCTTCATTCGTCTCGATGAGATGACAGTGCCATGTGGCACTTCTATGTGATCAGGGCTTGTCGGACTTGTTACTAGATATTGATTGACGACGTGGAGGCGAGGGGAAGCCCGGAGAAGGAGTGGGCAATGTTGGGCTACTCTATTGGTGGTCATTGATTATCTCTTCCACCCTCTTATCTGTCTATTCTCCCTCCACTCTCATCGTCTATTGGTAACGAGACACTGTATCAGCATATTGGAGACATTGTGCAGACCTGAGTCAACTTGTACTTCGACGTCTGACGGGTATCTTCCAGTCTGGGTTCATTACATGTATGTCTGATCAGAGCCCCGTGAGGCCTCATGCCTCACATAATTATTATGATTTTATTATTTTTATATTATTAGTATTTTATTACTATTTTTATATTATTATGATTTTATATTTTATATTTTATATTTTATATTATTATTATTAGTATTAGTATTATTATTATTATAAGGGACAGCTCCTAACACTAAAAGAAAACAGAATAATGGCAGCCCAGTGCGCAAGGCTGGTTCTCAAATATGACTATGCAAAATATAACTCAACGCACACACACCTCGTCCCATCAATGCTGGCAGAGCCATGGCCACTGCCTTCTCATTCCATCCGGTTTCGAACCCATGAGCTGTTTGCTCATAAACAGTTACATGTTTGCACCGTTCAGCCACATGGGCTGGGCCACCACGAAAATTATGATCCCTATGGGCATCAGCCACATCGCAAATTTACAGCAAACAGGGTGGTAGCCCTGCGGATGTCGACCCGGCATTCTCAAACATAAAGGGTCTCGCAGCTGACTCTCGCTCCACTACTCTAGACTCTCCAAGTTTCAAGAGTAACGCCTCGCTCCACTTACTCTAGACTGGAACTCGTGACAACACCCTTCAAGAGCTGTCAGAAAGCACTCTTGAAGGGCACTCTCTATTTGTATAGAGTTCACAGCCTGCAAAGCTCACAAATTCTAGAGTTCTCCCTCCTACCCCCGCTCCGGCCTCTTTTTTCGTGAGTGTGTCTCCTGCCGCGACTGTCAGAAGGAGCTAGCGCTGTCGTGTAGCGCTGTAGAAGCGCTCACAAAAATCGTGAGTACTCATGCTTGGCTTGGGACCCGCTTGTGAGTGGGACAGTGGACGAAACAGACTTGCGGGGGAACCGTTCGGACGAGGGGCGCCCACAACATGACAACTTGAAAGGCGCTCACCGGAATGTATCCACCGCTAAAACATGGCCATATGCAGTCGCTGTTTTTTTTTTTTTTAACGCATTCGAATCGCTCTTCCACCTCCTGAAGCCTGTTTCCTTCAACTTGCACTGTGGGCGATTGGGACCCTTGGAGACCCGTCATCCCATGGCTCTAAAATTCAAGGTTGGCGGAGCTGCGCCCCACGGAAGGTGCCATCTCGAAAGCGGAACCCGCTGGGGAGGTTCGGTACTCTTGCAGTCCAGTTTCGAGAGTGACCGGCCTCGCTCCACTTACTCTAGAAACGGTGTCAGAAATTTGTGAGTGCTTCTTCAGTCTAGAGTAAGTGGAGCGATGCCTCCTTTTTCACGTGTTCTAGACCTCTGACAGCTCTAGAAGCACTCACGGATTTTTTCGTGAGTCGAGAGTAGTGGAGCGAGGCCCAAAATATAAAGGAGGGACATTCAGCTGGCTTGACAAGTGCTTCAGACCAGCTTGAAAGCAATCATGTGTTGAGATCAGTGAGATGTCTTTAGACTTTTTCCCATCCAATATTGAAAATTCAAAAACATTGGATGTCATAGAAAAAAAAAAAAAAAAAGTTCATTTCAATCTGCAATTACGAGTCTTGCAAAGCGACGACTTGCACACACACACACAGTGACACTGGCCCCACACATACATACTCAGGGTGTAATCCCGCTAGGGCTCCCTTGAAAGATATCTGAACATAACTGCAGTCAGAGAAATACAGGACCAGGCATTTTTGTGGTCAGATACATCCGTGAAAGCCCTTAGCTTTTTTTTTTTCTTTTTTTTTTTTGGAAGTGTAATATGATCTCAGTCAAGTCTGAGGTTTGGCACAGTTTTTATCTCAGGGGCAGGCAGGGCCCACAGGTAGCTGCTAATATGAGTATTTGATGGTCAGGAAGTATGAACCTTGCCCATAGAAAGGGCTAGGTTCCATCTTCATTCTGAACCTATCATTACCACTAGTAGGGGCTGACCCTTTGCCACTCTCACATGATCTATCCCAATCATCGAGGACAGTCCATTGTCATTAGGCCAGCCCAGCCTGCAGATATCTTTTTTTTTTTTTTTTTTTTTTCAACTGCAGATATCAATGGTGCGGTAGAGCCAACACCATGCTCCCAATTATGTGGGGGGGCAGTACATTTTTTTTTATTTATTTATTTATTTTTTTTTGTGGTGGGCGAACCAGCCGACTGCAGTCTGTTTGTTCATACATCGGCAGAAATTAGAACAGCTGAATGGTGCGGAAGAGCGGGCAACAGCATCATGCTCTTGCAGCCACTTGCCGTTTCGAAAAGGTATTATCTATCCATCATCCTGCGCCGTGCGCCTGCCGTCCTGACAACAGGCTCCTGCTGCCTTCTGAATCATTGGTTCCTGCTATTTTTTAGGCGTAGCTTCTGTCATTATTGAGTCCATCCAGTTCTGCTTCCGGATTCGAACTCTTCATCTGTATGTGACTAACAGTTACATGGGTGTACCAATCAGTCAAATGGCTGGGTACAGGCTACGGCAGTTCTCATGCTTGTCAGCTGCCATATATCTTTTTTTTCTTTTTTTAATTATTATATTTATTTGGACCATTTCTCAATTTATGCGTGTCATTCTTGCGCAGGACATCCGTTAAAATTGGAACGATACAGAGAAGATTAGCATGGCCCCTGCGCTGCCATATATCTAACAAAATGCCTGCGGCTCCTATCAGCACCCTTAGCATCAGCCCCGGCTGTTCACATTAGGGTTGTGCCAGTCTCACCAAGTATCCCCGTGTTTTTTAGACTGAGTGTTCGCATATAGTCGGCAGTACTGTTGTTTTGTTCCTTGGTCTCGTTCTTCGGCTGGACAGGGTCCTTTTGTCAGTTTGGGTCAGACTGGGCCCTTTGTCTATGATGGTTCGGGTAGGATTAGGTCATGACCCCTCCGGTGATCCCTGAACCTTAATCAGCAGCAGATGGTTTGGGATTTAAGACTTTTGTGTGTTTGAGTAGGATACCCGGACCTGGACGGTACCGGGCCTGGTAGTGGGTAGCATGTTTTGACACTGTACCGAGCAGACAGAGATTATATAGTGTGTGGGCACGACTTTCTCGACCTCTTACGGAACACTCACTGCCCGGCGATGATCGTTGGGTGGTTCCTGGGATCGTGGAATGTCAATTTGCCGCAATTTTCGAGGTTTTTTGTTCTTACACACTATGCTGTCCAGTCACCCGCTTCTTGGTGTGTGTCGACTTCCAGTCACCCGCTTCTTGGCGTGTGTTGACTTGACTCTCATGTGTGCTTGAGATGTGATATGATGCTGTCTATTGCACGGCGTGTGAGCGATCCTGGAGTCAAGTAGCCAGGATAAGTGAGCACAAGTGACTTGGTTACTTGGTTACTTCGATACCTTTACTTTGTTCTAATTGGTGCCACTTCGAGCGGTGTTCTTTCCGTACACGTGTCACTTCGTCCATGTCGTCTACTACCAAGCGCTGGAGCTACGGCTTTTGCAGCTGGGTGGACTTTTTCTCGTGGTTGACCTCCGTGGTCCTCCATCCAAGGAATGGCTGGACACGGGGATAATCATGACTTTGGGGGCAGCAGTCGCAATCAGGGTGGAGGCGGATGGGACTACGGCGGACATCGCGAGTATGGCGGAGGACATCGAGGTTATGCGAGCGATCGTGGTGATAGTGGCGACAGAGGTTACGATGGTGACCGGAGGTCCGGTGGGGAGCGGATCTTTGATCGAGGCCTGTGGCCGGGACCCCCTATCTGTTTCAATTGCGATGAGCCAGGCCACTATGCGAATCAGTGTTCGCATCCAAGGTGGAACTCACATCCTTCGACATCGGCAAGCCGTGGTGGCTCTAGCCCTCCTAATAGACCGAACTTCAGCAGGTGCCAGCTATTGGACCCTCTGGAATCCAAAGTAGCTGAGATTGGTAAGAGTGTTGCTGCAGTTTGCCAGTATGTCGAAGTGGAACAGCAGAAGATGGCTGCAAAAGAGCGCTGTGAGGAACTACTTTCTGCAACCACGCGATCTTCTGCGCGAGGCTACGGCGGGAGTTGAAGTTGGTTGAGTCGGGATGGCCTGGTGAATTGCGTGGATGCCCTTGCTTTATGCGTCCTTGTGTTTTCGCGTCCTTTTGGAAAGGGGGGTTGGGGCTGGCCTGACAGTGGTCCCACTACGGTTGATAGTTGATCGTGCCTTAGTGAGCGCGATGAATAATGGTTGCCATAGCTTCTTTCTTGTTCTGCTGTGGGAAAGGGGAATTTTGGCGTGATTGTCGTGCAGGGAAATCTTTTTGAATTTTCAACTGATGTCGAGCCCCTGTGGGCTCTCGGAATTTGTTTCGTTTGGATTTTCTTTTTGCAACTAGGATTTAGACTACGAATTTGGGCACATCTCAATTTCTGCTGCGCGGCGCTTCCTGCTTGCGCACTATGTATCACCCGCGGTCATGACCGCGGGCCCTTTTACCGCACGCGGTCGGGATCCAAACCGCCAACCGCGGCCCCAAAACCCGGCAATTTTTAAAAAATAGAATAATAGAACCAAAAAAAAAACAACAAATGGGGTTGTATGGTTTTCCCTACATCCCCATATTTTTGTTTTTGGATTTTGATGTTTTTTGTTATTTTAAAAAAATAGAGAACGAAAAAAAAACAAGTATTAAAATCAAAAGAAACACAATAAAAAAAGGGATTTTTTTTTCCCGTTTTTTCTTGATTGCTGGTATGTGTGTGTGTGTGTGTGTGTGCATGTGTGTGTGTGTGTGTTCCGAGATGTCTGTGTGTGTGAGATGTCTCTGTGTGTGTGTGTGTGTGTGTGCGTAGGGGGTGTGTGTATATAATACAAGGCCATCCCATTCAGAATGGGACGCTAGAGATTGCCATTACGTCCACAGTTAGATCGGGGGGAAGGGGAGTAGTTAGGTACAGGGTATATCAAGGCATAGATTAGATAGGGAGCAGGTTAGCAGGGTTAGAGTTAGTAGGTTAGCATGGTTAGGAAAGGGTATGAAGACCCAGCCGTAGGGGGGGGTGCACGCCCTTAAGCACGCTTTTCGCCACCTAGCACCCATAGCAGCTCATCAGAGGGATTAGTCGCTAGGCTCCAGTTATCATGGGGGTGTGGGTAAGGTTCCAGGGGGTTGTAAGAGGTTCAACACAGGCAGTTAAAAGGTTCGGATGCAAGGGATCCATACCTGTGTAGTCAAGGCTGGTGAAGCAGTCACATCAGTAGCCTCCATGGCTGTGTCCGGTGATAGCAGGCGAACACTCAGTCGCTAGATTGTGCGGAGCGCAATGCTCAGACGCTACGTTGCTCGTAGCGGATGTATTGTGCCTTACCAGCCGGCGAGACCAGTTCAGCTTGCCTGGTTGTTCGCGTATGTAGAATGTCTGCTGAGCAAGAGTAATGCGAGCAGCACGAACTCGTATGCATACACCATGGAATACGGGTGAGCGCAGGAGGAAGATGGTGTGAGGTTGTAGATAGTTATAAATAGCATGTGCAAGCATCTTGGTTAGGGGATGTGGGCGTATGGTGGGTACAGGGATTCGGGAGGGTTTGTGTATGTCGTGGTTGGATTATGGGAGGGGCTCATGATGCTCAGGGGGGAGATGGTAAGGGGGATCGGATGGGTTTTGGGCAGGGGTCTGGAGGCTGCACGGTAGCTTAGTAGAGTAATGCTTCGCCTATGGGTTAGCGTTGCGCTAGGGGGTGGGTGTGTAGTTCTCGCCATGGAGCGCAGTGTACGTGATGTAAGTTACGTAGAATCCAAATATTTTGTCTTTGTTGCGTTCTGTCTTGTAGCGTCGTATCGTGCTTTTGCTATGGTGGTATACGGGTTGCAGCGTCAGCAAGAGTTTTGTCATGGGATAGTGGCGTTTCGTCTTGAGTGTCTTTCACCGTTCGTCACGTTTTTGCGCCGTTGCCGTAAGTGGGGTCGTTTTTTGTTTTTGTTTTTTTGGGCCATGTACCCTGTAACCATTTTGTCTTTTGTAGGGAGTTTTTTTGTTTTTTTAGTGGGGGAAAAAAACAGGGGGGATTGTATCATGTAGCGGGGGAGGACAAGGGATTTTTTTTGGGGGTGACGACATCTTGTTGTTCCTATAGCTAATTGGGTGTGCGACAGAGGGTTTTTTTTTTTTTTTTTTTTTTTTTGTGTGCGCGTCATTTGTGTCTGTGTTAGTCATAGTTCTTTGCTGAGTGAAGTGTGGGTAGGTTGCTTTTTTAATTTATTTTTGGCTTAGTAGTTTTATTGTAAGGGTTGAGGAGTAAAAAATTATTATTATTTTTGAATTATTTAATTGAGAAAACTACGGCGCAGTCAGGGTTACAGTTTGTAATTGCATTTGAAATTGCATTTGAAACTGCGTTTTAGAAGTTTGAAACTCGGGCTGGTTTTTCTAGCAGTTCAGTCAGGCACATGGCCGTTTCTCTTCGTTTTTTTTTTTTTTTTTTTTTTTTTTTTTTTTTTTTTTTTTTTTTTTTTTTTTTTTTTTTTTTTTTTTTTTTTTTTTTTTTTTTTTTTTTT